ACTCCCACTCGCTACCACCCTCCAGTCTTTCAGCCAGTCAAGCACGCGTAGACAGAGCAAATCGAGTTATTTGCTGCCGATGGTCCATTTGGCCTGTTCCTCGCCCGCTATACGTATGCCGATGCACGTGTCAACGAGAATTCGGTTACTTCATCCCGATGAGCCATCGTCGCGCCGCGTGGTACGGCTGACGTAACTAATGTCGGATGAACTCTCGCCGGCTCTCTCCCGGCTCCTCTCTGGCAGCCGACCAATGTAATGTCGGCCGCGCTTCGTCGCTCGCTCCCGCTCGTCTATTGGATCCGCGTTTTAAAACTCGCCTTCGACCGAACGGATAATTTACGGCGGCCGACTGCACTTCGCGCTCTCGGTCATTAAGCGAGGCGGGGTCTGCCACCTCTCTCACTCTTCTTTCCTCTTCTTACCCGCTCTCTCTCTCTCCACCCCGCGCGCGTGCTCGCGCAAAAAGGAGTTTCTTCGTTCGACGTGCGCGCGACGTCGTCTAACCCTTAAACATATTCCTCGCAAATTTCTGCTTCCCGCGTGTGAACTAAATATTTTTAAACTTCCAGTAAGTTCTTCCGCTTTAACCTCTCTTAAACGCGAATTTATTACCTCCGCGTTTTTAAACCTAGTTTTTTCTGGTTTTACGTTATTCCGGATACTTTTGTAAGTACGAGATAAAACTTGGTAACGTTTTAGTTACAGTCATGACATCCAACTTGTGAAATCTGTCGTTAAATAATACTCGGAGAAAAACTTGAACTCGTAACACGTAGGGCTGTATTTAGTATCTGAAAACTCAAGAGCATTTGTGACATTTCGAACGGCCGTGCATGGCCAAGCGCAATATCTGCATCATTAAATACGCGCGTGCCGAGATCGATCGTTTAAGAGTAATTATGCTAATGCGGCCCGATTATGATGAAGGCCCGAAATAAGCTTACAGGGTATCATCATTACCACGTTCAAATACGTGCGTATTATTAATAATGAAACAATAATGGATATTATTAAAGCAGCATGACGCAATAATAGCCGGCAAGCAGTGCAGTGTTGCCAATATTTGTTGCACCGTATTAATCACCAGTCGCATTAATGCTTACACACCGTAATAGGCTTTCTTGCTGCGGACATTTTTTTATTCAATTTGCGCGAATAAAATTTTCAATTGTTTTTTATTCGTCATTTGAAAATAATTTCAATATCGATTTCTACTTTTTCCCATTTTTATCGCAGCACTTTTGTAAAATGCGAGGTTGTTTTCATCCTTTCTGTCTATCTAGATTATTTTGATTCTTTTTTGTAAAATATGTATGTATATTTTCGATGTACCCTATTTAATTATCATGTCGAATCTTACACTCGGCAAAGGGGCAGCGGCGTAAAATAAAAAAAGAAAAAGGTAGCGGTTGGTATTCTCCTGTCGAAAGGACCGCGAGCGGGATTTAAATCTATTTTATTTGACCCTGAAGGATCAGTCCTTTTCACGGAGAAACGACGTTGTGGAGGGGCGCGAATGGAAGAGAAATTCTCCCTTTTTTTTTTTTCGTCTTCCGGACGCGCCTCGGACGCGTTTCTCGAAAAGCATGTAAAATGCGAAGGGCGGTAGGGTATTGATTCTCATCGCCGGGCATTTTACAACGCGTATCATTTTCGCGAGGAATAGTCGTTCGGTCTGGCGGAGCTGTTCGTTTTTGGTTTGCGCGAATTTCTTGCGAGCGAAAAGTTTGGTTTCAGTTGGAACGACCTCTCGTTATGCGTCATGTAACAGATCACTCCGATGACGAGAAAAATTATTCTTCCAACGAACGCGCATATGTTCTCGTAGATGCGTAACGGCGCGTAATAAAGATCCTCCACTTCGACGCTGGAATGGAACTTTTCTCTTCTCTCGCATATTTCCCGCGCGATATTTTTAATATCACGCTTGTCTTCCTTCCCGCGTATTATCTCACCGCTTTTTATTATTTGTATTCTTCTTATTCTTTGAATACATATTATTTTATTGTAACAAAATTTAATGACAAGTTATAACACGATAATTTATTTTAATTTTTTACAAACAATTTATCACTGTGTTGAGATTCCTTTTCTGACCCGTCATTTATTCTCTGTGTTTTTTAATTATAAACTGTATCTTCCGTAACGTTCAACGTATTGATATCCGAATCGAGTGGCAATAAAAGTATCCTTATTTAAACAGTATTTCGCGAGATTATTTCGAATAATCTAAAATAATTTGTTAGCTCCGATAAACGCAATAAAACACGCCATATGCTACATACGATTACAAAGTATTAAGTTCTAGTTGTGCCGTGTATCGTTACTTCCCCAGTTGCTACGGCTAAGCTTATCTATCGAATACACCGCGCTTTAATAAACCGCGAAAGTGCGATATAACATATTGCGACATCGTAATTATGTCGCAAAATGAAAGATACGAGAGATTTTCTTTAAAACTCTTTACAAATAGATGTTGCTCTTCGCACCGTTATTAATATTTCTGCATTTTTCTCGCGTATTTACAAATAGAACGTGAATTATTAGGAAGGCGTTTCCGGGGAGACCAAACAGTCGTGAAGACTTTTGACACCTCGTATAATCGCTTCGAGATACAACGCGTGCACGGGGCATAAATTTGTCGTTAAAAACTACGCCCATTATTCGGCTCCCTCCCTGCAGAAAGTCGCTATACAAATTCGACTGCTTGTATTCACGGAGTCCCACCCCTTGTCCCACCCCACTGTCGGTGACTGCCTCTTTCCTAAACTTCCCCTGATAGATTTTCCTCGCCCCCCCTCTCTCGTTAGCCCTCCGGTTTAGGGTGGAATTATTATGCAGAGACCAAAGTGTCCCATAAAATCGCGCAAATTACACGCTCCGATGCGTGTCTGAGCTTCATCGTAGTGATTAACTGACAATAACGCTGAAAACCGGTAATTCGACGGCGCCGATTAATCGGGCATTTGCCGGCTCAGGACCGCCTGCGGAGGACTCTTTGCGATTGACGTAGTTTAGGGTTTTACGTGTGTATCAGCTGTCGTAGCCGCTTTATTACGTGACGACGAGTCAATTTATCGGAAGATTAATCTTAATTAAGGCCGGGAGGAAAAAAAACGAATATTTACCCAATCACGGGAAATTTGGAGCACTTAATAGATTGTGAAATTCTTATCGATATTATTTTATTAGCAGTTTAAATACACAAGATTTGGTATAAAAAATACTGTAGCTATTTCACTTATACTTATTCTCAATGTATGTAAAATATTCGATTTTTTATTTGTTGAATATTTTTATTAATAACTAATTTTAAGCGAGAAATCTTTTTCCTTTATTAAAAAAAATATCTTGTTTGAATAGGAGTTAACACTCGCTTCTTACGCAAGTTTGCACTCTCTCTCTCTCTCTCTCTCTCTCTCTCTCTCTCTCTCTCTCCCTCATCAGAGTGTAAATACGGAATTAGAAGTCCGTTCGCACGCCCGAACGACATCCACTGAAAATCTTCATCTACACGGAAGGAACACGCGGGACTCACCCGTTTCCGTCGCCGGATTCTAATTCGTATTCACGGCACGACT